AAATAATGACTGCCCCATAAAGAAGAAGATTTTTTCCTACATGCATTTATTATTTTTGTTTTAGTTTTGTTGCTTTGTGATGCCTCATGTGAAGCCCTCACTAGATGCTGTTATGCAACACCCCCATGAATCTCCTTTCGTGCAACTGGGGAAGTTTGCAAATCCCCTCTCAAGCCAAAGATACAATCTCAACATTATCATCCAGACCAAAAGACGTCAACCTCTAGACACAATTATAATTAATATGAGAAGAAATTACATACTCAAATACAAAGTAAATAAGAAATAAAGGCTGGTGCCAACACAAAACAACCTCAGAGAGAGGACATTCAATGAAGAGAAAAAATATTTAACCCTTTAACTCCCAAGATCAGATTGTTAATTCTCCCCTCTAGCTGCTACATATTTCCTTGTAAACAAGTTACGAGAATTTATGGTAAGATCAGGATAACAACTTAAACCTGAGTATTGAGTATTCTTATTACATGTTTGCTGGATATTGTATGGATATTGTAGAGAGAACTAACATTTTCATCACTTCTGGGAGTTAAAGGTTTAATAGGCTTTAATGAATCCTTAAATATTATTTCTGTGCAGCCTAGAAACTGTACATGTTACCACTGGAAATATTTACACAACTTCATTTTTGTTGTATATGGTTTTAAGGAAAAGCAAATTTTGTACAAGAAAAACAAACCTCAAACATTCACAATAATTTGTGTGTAGCTTTAAGATTTGCTCTTCTATAGATACTGATATTTAAGTTGAATAGTCAATACAAAGTTGATCCCTGAAAATCAACTCAAAAATTTGTTTAATGTTTTCTAAGTTAGGGCTATTGTAAATGATATCAATGGAATTAATTCTTTACATCTAAAAAATTAAAACTTGTGGATGTACGACCAGCAACATAAAAAACAAAAATAATTAATCATACAAATTTGGCACAAAATGTGTGTTCACTATCTGCATTGGCCTATGAGAGGAGAAACATACTCCTCAAACCAATAAAATTAATTTACAGTGTTTATCTCCACATCCGAAAAATAAAGATGAAAATATGACGACTATTTTCTTGAGATTCCCAAGAGTAACCAAACCTTTCTAGGTTTGCATTAAATGCACAGATATAACAAATTCACCTGGGTTCCAGAACAAATGGTTGTAAAGAATTCTTTGAATCTTATGGCCTATGAAGAAGATGGAGCTGGATTGATAGTGTGTGCTCTGAATGTCACCATCAGCTCTACCAAGAGTGGCCTTTCGATGGACTCCAGATGGCCAATGAAAGAGAGGCCAACCTGAGGAAACTTGGAGGACAACCACAGAAAGGGAAACGAGGAACACAGCTCCAGACGGAGGCAGCCTGACAGACTGGCAACCAACAGAATTAAATGGCATTCTCTGCCAGATGCCTCATGTGCATAGAAGCACAAACGTTCATATACAATTCATACTGGAAAAGTATAAATAATAAGTTTCTGGAGCTCACTGCTCCTTTTTAAAAGCTTTAATGTTCTGCTTACTGTAGTTGCATGTAGAGTGACTTCCATCCATGAACTATGAGTTATTTACCATCTCCACATTGTATTCAAATCCTTTGACAAATGGGACTCCTACAGATGTGACCTTCTTCTGATAGGCCAAGTACTCTTCACCAAAGAAATCAATTAATGTGATTTCCTCGTCATAAACACGTTCATTGAAAAATCTCCATGAGGCCCAGATGTAACCAATGAGGCAAATGGGATTACACAATGTGAGTTGTGTTCCTGGGAAAAACATGTAGAAATTTGTCTTTAAAAACAGATATTATGTACTTATTGACTGAGCACTGGATGGGAAAAAATGATGTATGGACCAACAGGAGCAAAGTCTGGGCATTATAATTAACTGACCAAACTCATTAAATAAGCATGCTATCATATGAACAAAAAGTGATGAAAATTTCAGAAGTTTTGTTTTAACCTAAAAACAGTCAGTTTTGTTGTCCCATGAGTCTTGAACTCTCAGGAAAACAAAATCATCTGTTTGACCCTAGGGAGGAGAGAGGACAGCTTCAACATCCCCCCCCCCCCAAGCCCAGGCAACCCCCATGTAGGCATATGAACTTTAAAAATTGATTTGTTTAAATTCCTACTCCTGCTGGAGAAAAATTCGTGATCAAATGCCTCTTTCAATGCTTTTGTAAAAGGAAAAATCTGCAACCTTATAGACTTCTCTCTTCTGAGCTATTTGCTGGCAAAAGTGAAATATTATACACTTGATGTACGGTCCCAAGGAAAACAGTTAGTTTTGTTTCCTAATGTTCCCTCCACTTTGTCTCGGGAAACACCAGGACTTGTGGTAAAACAAAACTAACTAGTTTCCTGAGGGAACATACACTAAGTACTCTGCTATTTTTATTAGATTTTCCCTAAAACAATCATATGGCAAAAACAAACAAACAAAGATGGTACAACTTCTTTATTCACATGCATGTGGGCAACAACTGCTCAATTGTATCCTGGTTGGGTACATTTGAATTTGATCAGGGGCATGTGACCAAGAATCAAACAATCACATTGCTTGTTTTGTTGAGTGAAAGTCTAGGTATATAATACTTACCAGTAAACATCTCCATATTTGAAGATATAACACTTGTTTTCAGCTAGAAAGACTTGAGACTACTTGTTCAAATTCCCCACCCCATCCAGACAAGGTTCAAATTCTCCACCCACCAGGCACAGAAGATGTTCAAACACCTATGGGTTACCCAGGAGGGGTGGGGAGGGGGGATGTTGAAGCTTTGAATTGATCACTGTGTAAGTGTCTAATGCCTTACAATAACTTATCTGTATTTCACGGTGGCCCACAACTGTCATGGCAATAACAAATATCTCACAGCAAAACCGAAAGGCTAAGACAAATTTTCATAATCTCTCTGAACATGAGATAATTATTCCGTGAGCCTTTTGGTTTTTGCTGTGAGCTTTTTGGTTTTGCCGTGAGGTATTAATTATTGCTGTAACAGTTGTGGGTCACCGTAGCATTTACCTAAACTCCACCAGAACCAGCCAGCATACCCTGGATGTCGACATAAACTATAAATTCCACGGGTCACTAACACATGGCTTTTCTCCTTTCTGGTCTGAATAATATGGGTAAAATTAGATTCAGCCGTTATCATGGCAAGCTTTCGTAAAGTTTCTCCTCCAATCATACACAGCAAACCCATGGAGCTTGCAACAAACATGGTCTTCATGGAAGGGAAAAGCCACAGTTCTACACCAAATTCAATCCAACTTGCAACAGCGGCAATTTGATATTCTGGACTGTGATTCAGCAGAAATGAATCCACAGATAGCTTATCTGGAGAATAACATGCCACCATGACATATTCAGAGAGGTGAAAGAATGATAATGAAGCTAGGTACCAGCCAAAATATTTCCAGAATGTTTCACCCAAGCTTAGGAGAATGGCAATTCCAAAAATGATACCTTTGGGTCAAAATATATAAAATAGCATTTGTGAGTATAAGTGAAGAAAAATTTGAGTTCTTCATGAAGACTCTGATATCACCTTAATCCTTTAAACCCTAAGTTAGAGTGATTAGCATCTAGTTTTCTCTTCACCCCTGAATCACACATGAAAGTCATGAGAATACAGGAGATGATTACCAACTATTTAAGCAGCTCTTCATTATTAAACAAATTCTCTTTGTCAGTCTCTTTGAAAATGTATGGAGAACAGTATGGAGAATATGCATACTGATATTAGGTTGTAAAGGGTTAACAAATAGATTCCATGTCACTATGCATCTGTTCAGCAATAGATCACAAATGATATCAAAATGCAGTAAGGACAAAAAAAAAGGACATGAAAAGCAGCCGAGTGTGTCTCTGATTATCTAACCAAATTTGGATATCATCTGTGATCTATTGCTGTACCGACAATTGGCAACATGGAATCTATTTGGTTTATATAGCAAGGAAGCAAAATGCTGTTTGTAGTGACAGTATCTATGCATCTGTCCCCCAGTATATCATAAGTAAAGACCAATCAAATAGCGTGCATAATTAATAATATAATTCAACAATTTGAAACATTTTGTAACAATAGCGAATTCAAAATTTATGAAAAATGTTGCACAGCATTGAATATTAGACGAAAGTAGACCCATTTGGTTATTGATATCGAATGACGTCTATAGAGCAATTTGTGGCCTCGGTTAAGAACTTAAAAAGTAATTTAACCTGGCCATCAACTTCTCCTTTGATATGTTTTATCTATGCCACAATAGAGTAGCTCTCCACTTTCCTAGTTTGCCAACAAAAGTCGTGTCACGTACAAAATGAAACGCCAACCGCAAATAAACCACCATAAGTCTATATCAGTTGTCTTATTTTCGCAAAGACGCGCTCGATTAGATCGAAATAAAAAATTATTTTTAGCAAAAAAAATGATGCCGGTAACACTTAGGAAATTTTCGTTGGAACAACAATTTTTACAGTTGTTATAAATTCCTATATGCTTACCTAACAGGGCAGCTCTCTTGGCAACAGAAGAATATGGAACGAAACAAGTCGCACACATGGTTAATCCAAGAATTATGCCTCTCGTGGCGATACTCCATATTTCCGTGAGACTACAGCTTTGAAATAGAGTTAAAACTAAGAGAATGCAAGCAATGAAATAGGAAAGTGCAACTTTCCCCTCTAATATCAAAGTGTTTATCACCGACATCTTGGAATCTGGGGGGAACTGGGTAATAGGAAAGGGCATGTGGGGGAGGGGGTAGTACCAAATGACAAGCAAATTCTTCACCAGCAATGAGGCTGTTAGTCTAGAACAATTTTTAAATTCTTTATTCTTAAAACAAAATTCTTAAAAACATATTTTTTTTGATAGGAAAAGTATGCTAAAAACTTAAAATAAAATTTATTTCTGATAACTCACCCCAGTACCCTCGCCACGGCGAAAGTGGTTTCCAGGTTCTTTCACTTGTTTCCTACTTGTTTGCAGTGCGTGAAGAAATATGGCGAGTGACGACGACAGAAATCATAGAAAACGAAATTCCAGTCGCAATGGAAGGCCAGATTTGGTCGAAACATGCTTTGGTGTTTGGTCAAAAAGTGTAAAAGTTCATAAAGCCGTAGAGAAAGAACTAGAAAGTATATGCAATGGTATCCATGTTGTGAAGATCAGAGAAGTGAGTTTTACTTTCAATGTTACTTTTCACGTGACTCGACTTAAAGCGTTTTCCACTCGACAAGTGATCTTTGCTTTCACAATATTCGTCGGCCGAGAACGTCATAACAAAACTAAACCTTCACTTTCTACCTAACAGATTTCCGCCGTGTTTTTTCAAATTAGTGGTTTAGGGTCTGCGGATAACCGTAGGTCTTTTTAACTTGATATATGGAATTTCCTTTCACCATAATGGTGAAAATGATATTATTTTTCTGGAATGTTTGGTGTATTGATGCAAGTTAATAATTGAATTTTGTCGATAGATTGTAAGCGTATTTAACGTTATCCTCTATCTATGATTTTCCTTATAGTGCTTACATTTTTGCATTCTGTTATTACGTATTTACATCTCATTGTCAGTAATGGTTTATGAAAAAACATTAATGGACGGAATCAATAAAGTCATTGTTTTTGTTAGAATGTAAATTGGCCACAGTTTAGAGTTTCTACAAGACGCCCTTACCTTTGCCAGCTAATAAGTTTTTTTTTTTTTTTACACTTATCTAATAAATCATCTTTAGAGGTTATACTGGCAAAGATTCAGCCAGATCACCATTATGATACTACATGTAAAATCAACTAATTTCTCTTTTTTTTTTAACATACTCAGGGTGCTAACCTTACCAAAGAGGAACTTAGTAGAACAAGGGGACTTCTGGTTGCGGTTCGTGCAACAGGTAATTGTAGTGATTGACCTTTAATTATATCCGTTTTAAACCACTCTGTGATCCTTGCAATCTGATTGTCACTCAGATGTGCAACTACTTCATGAATCTTGGTAGAACCAAGTTGATATAATAATAACAGGAAACAGTATACAATCCACTTACAGTGGAAAAGTAGTTGCAGCTTTAAGCGCATCCTGTGCTGTGCTCTTGTGACAAATATACTTTTGCATCATTCTGTTATGATAGCAATCACTGTCAAAGGCATCACATTTCTGGTACATACATCTAGAGGCAATGAACTGTCAATTTTGAATTTATCTGATAGATACACCTGTTGGGCAAAGCAGTCCCAAAGTTTATGATCATACATACATCAGAGTTGAAAGAGATGAAGCTGAAGATAAGTAAGTCTTGTGTGAACTGTAAACTTGCACATTGTAATCATACTGCTTGTACTGCAGTGTCTAATAATTGTAATTCCAGAGAAAAAGAATACAGAAAAAAGTTCTCATTTGCATGTATAACTGAGATTTCAGCCAAAACACTGTAGCATTCTAACTTGGTGTTTTGAAAACAAATTACATGTAGCTATGAACGTGAGCTAGTTGTGTGCTATGGCAACCTGAAATTATCTCTACATTTTAACCCTCTAGCCCTCAAGAGTGACTAACATCTAATTTCATCTAACACTATTATTGCTGAATTTACCTCCAAGGCAAGAGAATAAAGGGAGAGAGCCTTGGGTTAAAATGTTCTTGATTGTTAAACAAATTCTCCTTGTCAGTAATTTGGAAATGTATAAAGGACAGTATAGAGAATTTACATACTCATGCAAGGGTGTAAACACTGTCATGAGTAACTCCCATGGGTGACCAAGGCAGAATTTGTCCTGACAATATCAACACATTATCCAGCAGACAAGTGATGAGAACAAAGAAAAATATAATATCAGTTACAAGCCAGGATATTTAGTTGTTCCAATACCAAATTCTCTGAACTAACTTCATAGGAATTTTATGGCAGTCAATAAAGAGACTTAGGAATGTGATCATGGAATAAGAGAGAAAGGGTTTAGAGTAAACCCTTTAACTCCCATGATGTAATTTTCAATTCTCCTCTGTAGCTGCAACACATCTCCTTGTAAATTAATTATGAGAATTTGGTGCTGGATCAAGATAACAACTTCTACCTGATGAGTTTGAGTTTTCTTATTGCTTGTTTGCTGAAAATGTATGGGTATTAGAGGGAGAAGTTACTTGTTAGTCACTTCTAGGGGTTAAAGGATTAACACCAGCACCAAGTGTTGATGATCATAAGACTTCTGTATAATCTGGAGCTGTCTAGTAACAACATGCAAGAGGTGCTACTGTTTCTTTAATCATAATACAATTTTTTTTTCAAGACTTCAGGAGAATGATAACAGTCATGCAAATGAAGCAAAAACTACGGAGGAGCATGGTGAATCTCTAACAAAAAGAGTGAAAGATGTTATAAAGAAAACAACTCCCGAGAAAGTTGAGAAAGGGAAAGATGTTGAGCAGAAAAGGAGAGAAATTAAGCAGCAAAGACATGAAAAGGAAAATGAACAGAGAGAAGAAAAACTTGGTGTGAGACCTGAAGGTATTTACAGACCAGTTTGTAACTCTACAACCCAAAGGAACCATGTGGCCTTGTTTGTTCCTAATGGAGAGGCCAGTGTTTATGGAGATTAGAAATTACATGTACACTGTTGAATAGTAACAATTTTTTTTTCTAAAAATCTTATCACAAGGATGTCACAAGTAGCTCTTACAGCTTGTGCAGAACCATTGGTACTCAACTTCTTGAAGAAATTTTTTATTCAAAGTTATGAAGATGACTTTTTCTACCTTTGTTTAATTTTTGTTGATGTGTTGCCATTTGTTTTGTCTTTTTGTATCTCAAGCTCAAATATTACATTATCTCCCAGGTACTGTATACTACAAGATTGGTCCCCCCCATGTCCCTGAAGTATCTGAAAATCATCAGCAAACAGCAAACCTTTAGTAACAATTTATTTAACTTTAAATTTGGAGTACAGTACTTTAACTTAATTTAATGATGTTGTGCTATTTCATTGTTGCTATAGAAATTTTGTGGATTGGATTTCGCAGCATTATGGATAGATTTGCAAACTGCTATGAAATAAGTGGAAGGATTCTGTCTTACTGTCACCCGATTGAGAAAATTGGCCAGGTATGTGCAATATATAATTTTAATTATAAATAATAAAGTTTATTAAATTTATATTATTATCCATTGTGAGCAAGCAGTTGTGGTAGGGATAGATTTTCTGCTTTCTGCCGATATGTTATCATGGAGCTTTACATTCTTTACATGTAAACATATACAAATTTGACCCCTAAGAGTGACTAGTATCTAAATTCTCCGCACAATATTACCCCTGGATCACACATTGAGGTCTCAAGAATAAAGGAGATGATCACCAACTAAGGAAGCTCTTGATCATTGAACAAATTCTTCTTGTCAGCACCTTGAGAAATGTATAGAGAACAGCAAGGAGAATATGCATATTGATGTTTGGGTGTTGAGGGTTAAGGAATGTATACTTGCCATGTAATCTTGAAGGAAAAGGTAATGATTTGTCCTCCATTGATTTGACAGATTGTTGGCTTTGCAGAAAGGTGTATAAAGAATGCTGGAAGAAAATTTGTGGAGGGCAATGATGATAAGAAAAAGAAATGATGAATTGTAATTATCTGATATGGTGAAGGACAGGTATTTCAGGGACATGTACGGTGAAAATTAAGGAGAAGTCACCTCCTTAAGTTTTGTGCATGGTACTCTCTAGGCTCAGAGGGGTAGCTGTGGAGGAATTTTTCTGAGGGAGGGATCATAGGTATGAATTTCTGCACCCCTTACATGTATTTAGTAAATAAACTCCTTCACGCAACTGAGAAATAACCAAAAACTTAATAATTCAGAGGTGGAGCTTCATGGGCAATTTTAAAATTTTGAGGACAATCTCTCAGTCAAGGACGTTTTGGGACAACAAACCAGTAAGTCAGAAAGGAGTCGTCAGTGAAAGTGAAACTCTTTAGCTTTTGGGTTGCCGTGCCTCAGGTATTAATTTGGGCTATTATTTATTAAGTGCCAAGAAGAAATGGCAAATGAGTATCTGCATGTACACTGTAGCACAATAAGATTTTCCCAATGAAGATTCTTTGGATTTGGGTGTGTTTGCAAACCTGAATTTTAAGATGAACAGATTATGTTATTGAGAGCTGGGTGTTTGAACCTAATTGGGAATTATGTTAATTCTTTTGACAAGGCATTTATTATTGACAGAACTTGACAGTATAACATAAGATCGATTAATGTGAAAGTCAGAACACTCTTAGCACCAGAAATATTTATGAAATGTTATGATCTGATTTGACCTCAGATAACATAACAGAAAAAAGGAGGATTTTTGAGTTCGAATATAGCAATAAAAATGCCATATTTCAACCACGTAAATTCTTGTAAAGTGTAACAAGTTGGTGAGAAAGATAAAAACATAAAATTGGTACATAGCAAAAAAAATAAATGAATGTTTTATAAATCACATGATGTTAAAATTTCTGTTGTCATGTCTTTTAACTCTCCCCAGTCCCTTCCTTCAGTGGCTCTGATGGGAAGTGTTTCGATTGTAGATCAACCAAGACAGAGGGGGTCTGGGTTCATAACTTTGCTGAAGCTTCCATGCTTTGTCCTGGGAAAGGCACTATTTAATTGAACTGTGTGGAGTGTTCTTTATTTTGAAATTGTGCAGTATGCATTTGAACAAGCAACAGAGCATGCATCATGAGCTTGATTATTGATGACAAGACAGTGTGGCTCCAGACAAAATTTTGTAGCACAGAGTTTAATTGCCTCTTCACTACATCTATATTAAACTGGACAATAATATCACCTAATTACAGGATTTTGATCAGTACCAGTATGCTATTGATACAGTTGATTTGAGTTTCGTAGTATCTTTTACCTGCTTTGTCAATTCCTTTCTCACATTACCTAGTTAAGATTCAGATTCATTCTAGGGGGAGGGGTGATCACAGCCGAATCCTACAAGGTCATCGCACTGGAATGCCTTTGGAATCTCCCTTATTAGATCCTGCCTAGTTTCTTCCAGCACTGCTTTCAAATGCCCCCTAGATCACAATGGGATCCCTTACATGTCCATGCTAGATTCCTACAATCGCAACGAAACCCTGTCTGAGAAAACACCAGGGGTTCCCTGGCATTGCACTACTTAAGCAATGCAGAGACTCCCAATTAACTTGCCACTAGGAGAGTTCTCTTTTGGGAGAGCACAAAGTGTAGCAGCACTGTTGATCAACTTTTCTGCCTCCACACTTTCAGGCCACCTTTGACTTCATTGGGATAGTTCCCCTATCTTGGATTAAACCAGAGACGGATTATCCATTGGAACTTTTGGGTGTGGTATTCTATATTTTTCTCAGTCACTAGGTTTGACTCGTGCTAGCATCAAAAGACTCGATAGAGTTACAAATGACTTTTTCACTCTGGACATAAAGAAAGCTAATAACCTTTTTTATTCTGGATAAGTGTTTGTTGTCTTTCACACAAACCTTCATCTAACTGTATTTCTACTTGTAAAATATTCAAACCTCCTCTTTTGAGTAGAACTTTTCTACGCAACAGTATTTGTGAATGAAACTCAGACAGCTTCTTGCCACTATGTTCAATCTTTGACTTGCAAGAGGTCCTTTGTATTTGCAAATAACTTTTAATGCTCTCAATTGAGTGTCGAAAGTAATTGCAGATTACCTTTGTTCTTATGATAAGAGTAGACAATTTTCATTAGCCTCTCAACCATCAGGTGCAAAATTAAAACCAATCCAGACTAAGTCACCCATGTTTTCTCATCTGCACCTCAGGCAAATTGTTCATTTTTTACTTAAAAATTCTCATTGCCTTCCTATGATATTTTTTCTTGATTACAATTAGCTGTAAGTTGTGACAACTCAATCAACACTCACTCAAAAACTATTTAACCCTTTACACCACAAAATCAGTGTGTATTTTCTCTTACTTCTCTCTAAACAATTCTTATGAGGTGCTGATAAACAGTTAAGAGCTTGTTTAGTTCAGTGTTCTCCTTTTCAGGCAGTAACCGGTAACATTTACCACCTGTAGTACCTCTTACTACTGTTTAAAATTGCTTGGAATTATTGAAAATTCAACTTGTACAAGGATTGCTTTAACAGTTTGAAAATTTAATTTACCTGTCATGCTTAAAATAAGGGAGAACACTGTTAGTTGGTGATCATTTCCTTAGTTAATTCTTGTGACCTTAATGTTTGATTCAGGGTCAAAGGGTAGAAGATGCCTAATCTAAAGATTCATGACATGTTCTATGATTGTATTGACTATCTCCGTCATCTTTTAAGAAGAGGTACCAGAGTTCTGACTTTTAATCCAAATACATTTCCTAGAAGGCTACCACCTTAAGTTTGCATAGTCGTTAAACACTGAAAAGAAAACTTGCCTATACACCATATATAGCTTACTGAAAACAGAGGCAAAAATGTTTGGCATGATAAAAGAGGTAAGCATGTGACAAACACAGGGGGCAAATCACCCATGATCATGAGAAGAGTAAGAGGAGAGTGCATAACTCACACCTCATGCTTGTCTCAGGCTTACCTCTGCTTTTAGCCTTTAAAGAACAAATATAGAAAAGGAGAAAACGTCAAGAAATAAGAGGCATTCTCCTGATGTAAAGAGTAACATTTGGTTAATTATCTGTTTACAGTACTTAGGTCTTCATCCTATATCAATGCATCATCCATTAGTTTTAGCTTTAAAAAAAGATAGCCACATGAACATGCAACTTCACCATTTAATAAGCAGATCCTACTACAAATCAAGGACATCTCTTCATCTCTCCCTTATTTTCCACAACATATCATTATACCCAAATGACAGAAGGTGAGGATTATCACAATGGTTTTGAAAACTCAGTACATTTAGATGTACACACAAAACTATGTGACTTATATGGAGTATTTAAAAAAGTCTCTACATTGGAAGCAATGTATCATCTCTGTCATCATCTGCTAAGGCATCATCCATTGCCTAAGAGAAAAAAAAATTATTACATTCAACAATTATTAAATCAGAATACAACATCACACACATGAGCCTTAAGGTTATGATCATGTTATGAACTTAATGTCCCATCTGGCTGGAACTTGTGCCACTCTCCCTTAGCAAAAAGTACATTTTAATTAGTGTTGTACAACCAAAACCACAGTAATCAGAATGGCCAATCAGAACAAAGGGAAATATCCCTAAGAGCAAATGAAAACTAGGAAAAAACGAGGAAATGGCCTGAAGTGCAGGAAAATGCTACCAACCAAGTTGCAATTGGTATTCCATCTCATTGGTTAAGAAGGTAGCAGTAATTTTCTAGACAATTACAGAATTTGAAGAAAAACCAATGATACTTAATGCCTGCGACAAGCTTATCCCCTGAAACAAATTGCTGGCCATGCTGGTAAAGCACTGAGAAACAGGCTTACCCCACTTCCGAGCATTAGCCTTTCCTCAGAGCAAATGGGATTGCCATAATGGTCGAAACATCAGCTTTGCAACTCTTTTTGGTGGCCAATTTACATTATCAACTCAGTTGATAAAACCAAATTACCCTGTTGTACTCTCCCACTGACGCAGCACCACAGTTTCTTCAGAAACTTACCCCCTTCACCCCACTTCCCCCTTGGGTGGGAAACTTCACTATGGTGGGGTACCTCCTATCTGACTCTCCCTCCCCCCCCCCCCCAACACAGCATTACCACTAGAGGGTTCCATTTCCTCAGCAGAAAGAGACACTAACAAGACTAAACTTCCTAGCCTTTAAGCAGGCCTGGATTACTTTTAATCCTGCAAGACATGCATTTCTCTGGCTTCAGGAATGTTTGAGACAAGTCAGGGAGAGGTTTGCTGAGGGTCTGGCATTATCAGTGCTAGACCTATCACTAGCCCGCCCAAAGGGAGAAATGCTCATCATGCTGAAGGGTTCATAATAAGCGCCTGCTTGCAGGCTAAAATTTATTTTCAGGACAGCTCAGAGGTGCATGGCCCAAAATGAATGCAAAAGGTACGTTTACAAAAAGCATGCACATGCATGCACCTTTTCAAAACATGCTTAAAAAAACAGGTGCAAAGGAAGCAGATAAGTATGTACAAGGCAGTAGTCTGTTTTACCCTAGGTTTAACTTTAAATGGTGTTTTAGATTTATAACAAAAGAGGAATTCTGATGTTAGCAAAATTATGTGGTTTGTCCCAAAGTGTTTGCCATCATGTGATTTTTGAAATGGCTTGCCTGCATTATGAAGAAAAAAAGAAAAGTATTTGACCCAATGGGGACCTCTGCATCTGGCAGTGTGACCTCACTCCAGCTTGTGCAGAGAGATGGTTTGTTACAGAATACTGCTAACAATGCCTTTGTGCCTTGAACCATTTATATAATTGAGACAAAGGATTTCACTTTGACAACCCACCTTGTATCTTGTTGGGCTTGACTCTGAACACCGACACATAAAATTGCATCCATCCTGGGAAAAAAAACAAAATTTAAAACAGTACTTAGAATCACACCACTGAAGGTAACTTGACCTTGAAGAAGAAGGAAAATTTTCCCAGAGACAAGTATAACCACTGAGAAATAAAGTATTTTGCATGAGACATGCTATCTGCTAATTTGGATTGACTGTTTAGTCATTTTCCCACAGAAAAGAAGCAAACCAAAACAAAAAACAAATTAAAGTAAAAAAAATAATTTTGATTTTGGGAAAGTTTGGATGCAATTTGTTACTTTGTGTTCATTTACAAAGAAGTCTTCTGACCTACACAGATCAACAAGAAAACTCTTATTTGACTAATGACTCAACACAAAATCTCTCTCAAATGGCAAGAAAAAAAGATTAAGCCAACTTCCACTGTGTCTCAAAACCATTACGCACTACACATTGTAGATAAGGTAATTGAGTGTTATTAACTAAATGGTTTAAACCCACACACAACCCACAATTCCTCCAATCACTCTAATGAAGGGTTAACACTCGAAACATCAATCTTTTAACTCTTTGAAGAGGCCAATTTACATTACCAACTCAGTCAATAACACTAAATTACCCATTTATACTCTCTCACTGACACAGCCCCACAGTTTCTTTAGAAACTTACCCCCTTTAACCATTGTAGATAGTTTGAAAAAAGAGAAAAACTTACAGCTTGCAGACTTCCGCAGTCTTTCCAAAAGTTGTGGTTAGGTATCTGTTCCATTCCTTTAGCACTAACCTTAAATCTTCGGTACAAGAAACCAAGAATTATGAAAATGGAGCCCACAACTATCAATCTGCAATGAAGAAAAAGTTATTGTCAATGGGTTATTTAATTGGTTTAATTTCAAAAAAAGCTTGTAAGTAAGTTCTTGATTTTTCCTTAGAGGTTTATTTCTTTAATTTTAATTGTTGAGATTCAAACTCAGATTGGCTTTAATTGGCAAATCAGAGAAAACAAAAGTACTCTGGGGAGGGGACACTCTAACTACTCTTTTTTTTTTTTTTTTTTTTTTTGACATCCACACTGCACCCCACCCCAGAAAAAGTAATTTTTAGCTCCCAAAAAATTCTCCCTTGAAATTTTGCATTTGTGTCAATCTAATTTCTTGATTTTCTCTGATGCACAGTACAGTGGAACCCTAAGAATTCTAACCAGTTCCACTCCAACCTGGTTACAGTATAACTCAAACCCTGCTAACTCAGAAAAGATCCAAGTTCACTCAGAATTGGCCCCATTTTTCTAGTAATTAACCATCACCTACAAACAGTAACTTAACCTTCATGACAGGACGGAAAATGTGTGCACTGTAAGTACCTCCCTTTGTCCCATACAAAGCCTTAGAAAACTTTTCTAAGGGTTTGTATGGGACAACGGGAGGTACTTACAGTGCACGCATTTTCTGTCCTGTCATGAATAACTCAAACCACTTTTTGTTTCCCTTCAGTGTTCAAGTTAGCAAGGTTCTACAGAACTGTAGTTAATAAGTTAGGCGTAATTCAATGAAAGTAATAGCAAGCCCACCAACATTGTGAAATTGTGCACCCATGTCATCCTAATTTCTTAATTATTTTCTTTGCTGCAGATAAACAGTAAAACCCTACAATCTCCAACCAGGTTAACTCAAACCCCTGCTAACACAGACAAGATCCAAGTTCCCTCAGATTTGACCCATTCCAGACGTTTACTAAACTCCAACTTGATTAACTTGCACCATTTTCCATTTCCCTTAAGAGTTTGAGTAAGCTGGGTTCTACTGTAGTTAATAATTACATGACTACTGTGTAATTCAGAAAAAAGTAAGCAGGCTTTGTCAAAAAGTGCAATACTTACATTATCAACATAATGGATCCAGCACTCAAGTGCTTTGGCTTTGGCTTTGCTGTGCATGCTGCATCATTATTAAGTTCAAACAGGTAGTAACATTCCAGTGGGTTTTTTGGATCATCTAGTTTACTTTGGTTCCTATATTCTTCAATGACACGCATGGTTCCCTGGAAAAAAAAATTATAAAATCCAATCTTTCCTGGATTTAGAGGCAAACAAAACAAAGATCTTTTTTCCAAGTTAATACAGCTGCACATGTCATCTATCCACAGAGGAAGCAAAAACCAAAATAACTAACACAGACAATTTTGTTCTCCTGAAAATTTAAGTTCATTTTTATAGTACCCTCATAATTCAATCTTTCCAAGATGCACATATGAAATGTGTCTGTGTAGTCAACGTACATCTGAGCGATACTGTAGAGAAAAAAAAAACTTAAAGATTCTTTTTTGCAAGCAAAAACATTATTTCTGCCCAGAGGAAGCACAAAAAACAAAACCTGTCACAAATTTTTTTTTTCCTCATACTGTAGATTAAAGTTCGTTTTTTTTTAAACTACAGAGCTGATTAAAATGGTCACCAGAAAGAAATCCTTATCTTCTAGAGAGTGCTGTCCAATCATCATCATCATCATCAACTTTATTTGCAACACAAAAATTTATTTACAGCGTTAACAGCTAGAAGGCAAGGAGACCCAGGAAGCCACTGGGCTTATGGCCGAGCCCTTACAATCATAAATTAAGTAAGGAAAAAGTGTTGCAAATGTGCAACTTTATTTAAGTTAAAACTCTTGCACTTTTGTCTTAAAGCTAGCAAGGTTTGACGAACAAGCAACTGTTCCAAATTTCAGGACCGTGGTAGAGTATTATTAATATTGCTAGAGATTTGTACAGCACAAGTGTGTTCAATACCTACAGGCTCTTCTGGTACCATAGTTGTGAATTTGGCTATTTGTTACAAAAAGATTGAGAAGCAACGGGGCAATAAGTTGTTTTTACAATAAAACATAAATTTGGCGATTTCAAAAGTATTGACCAAGAAAATATGTAAGATTCCTACTTTGGAAAATAATTCAATTATTTGATAATTTTGTCATGTATATGATCAAAGCAGGCAATCATCTTGTCCACCCATTTGCTAATCAGAACACAAGATTCACTTCATCTTGCCTACGGGTGCTGTCAGCCATCTGATAAGTATTTGTTATCAACCAAGCCCTATCGGCCACAATAAGTAATAATTCACTCACCCTCTCAACCCCTGGGTCACATGTCACTAACACAATACTAATTCTTTCTAAGCCTTTGCAGTGGTGTTTATACACCTCTCCATGGAAGTATTTTATCATCAGCCAGTTTGCTGGGAAAATGAAATTTTACATTATTATTAAAGTTCAAATAATGATAAAAATCCTTTAATAGATATTTTCTTTATTCTCATCACTTATCTGCTTGATTTTGTAATGTTATGAAAATGAAAAACTCTGTCTTGGTCACAAAGTGAGGAAAAGGGTTAAAATCTGTGTACTTTATCTGTGCTCTGATGTTTATACACAATTATGCATGTATTAAGTTTTGATCACATGACTTACTTCCTCCAGTAACATGGGCACCCTTGAAGGTTCCTATTACCTTCCACTCTGATTCTTTCCACTTCACGCCATGTTGCTGAACTGCAGCGGTGTCTGAATATCCTTGCTTACAGATTGATATTTTATATGAATAGTTATCATCGTTTGCAAAGTAAATCCTAAAAAACAAAACTCACTTGTTAACCGTTAAGCATAAAACAGTAAAAACAATTCGAGATCTGATATAAATGTGACAAACACTTGTGCAAGCTCAGTTTTTTTGAAAAATACAAAAAGTGTATGTTGGAACATTTGGAGGTAGTATAAATGCTGAGTTTGTGTCAGGCGAACTAAGTTACAGTCTGTAATGGGGTTAAGTAAGTTTAAAAAGGATCATTATTATAATTATTAAATCTATGGTAGCTGCTTCTTCACAATAATTACTTGTAACTTGAGACATGTTTTTTTAATAGAAAAGTTGGGTTAATAGGGATTTTGTATTCTTTCTGCTGGTGATATTATACCATAACAATTTATTCACTTAGGTTCTACTCTTTATTGTACAGAATTATATAATCTCACTTATTGCAACTGGAGTGAAATTTCTATGATCTACAGGAATGAAGCTTCCCACAGTGAATGCATTTTATTCTTATAAACATTTGGCATAATATGATGTTGTTAAAATGTAAAAACATCAACTCTTCCAAGGGGACAGATTCACATCAATCTGTATTCAATCAGATACTAAATCTCTTAACTTGTAGTAAAAATTCCGACTGATCAAAAAACATTTTGCCGAGTTTTATTCACAGTTAATTAAAATTTTATTACAGTAATGAAATTTTAACTACAGCAATTATATAATTAAATGGTAATATTGTCGCGCAAGAAACTCAATGGAGTTAAGGTGTTAAATCAGATTTAGTCTATGGGTGTTTGAGTCATCAAAATAGTTTCAGTTGTTCATATTCTTGAGGAAGGGAATGAAAAGTAACATGTTTCTTATAAATTGCGTGACAAATTGCAAGACAATGCAACATTGAAATGGCTTCCAATTTCGGTTTCACAGCTGCCTGCAGTATGTTTAGCGTCGTATACGAATTTCCTCCCAATATTATTGAGCAAATTTATCGAAAATTTTCGCAATTTTGCTGTAAACTTGACTGTAACATAATACTACATCCCTCTTTAGTTTAGATGACTTTTAAACAGAAATTACAAAACTTGTAATTTTAAGTTAAATATTATTAAACTAGACGTCATTTTAACACGTGCCAACTCCTCCTTTTGCCCGAATATAATGACTTAAAAATAAATCTAACTTCCTTCAAGGCACAACTCCCAGTTTGCATAGTTTCTTTCGAAGGATACTTATAAAATCGAGAAAGAAAGCGAAGTAAAAGTGATTCACAACTCACTTTTGCCCCGATAACTTTTTTAATCTCTCGTTCACATCGTTTGGGTCAGTCTTTTGATGTTGGGGACACATTTGGGCGGGAGCTTGCGTCGTCGTCCTCACAGACACAAAGCGAGTGCACAGACCCAACCACAACAAGACCGCCTTCATAATGGGCGACAAGGTATCCATTGCTCTAAAATGCTGCTATTTCAAGGCCGCTCCAGGTAACTAAGCGATGACAATATTTGACTCGAGTGGTCATGTGTTTGTTACAAGACATCAAGGTATTACACGTCAGCGATATTAAGACGCTCTTGTGGGAACAAGAATAATATATTTCTTAGGTATGCCTGAACTAAGTGTGATAAGGAATGACATTTTTATAGGGTACTTCAACCCTTAATCGCTAATTATATATTAAATCCATTCCTGCGTTAAAATCCAAAGTATTTAGAGGACTCAACGACACAATTTGAGCCGTTAACGCTCAGTGGTAATAACAACGCTCGTACTCAGGCACGTTAAGGCATGGTTACAACGTGAAAACGAGGCAAAAAAATAATTTTTTCATTCCAGGTCGTTGTATAAGATCAAATTTAACAAATTTCGGCGAGGTTATCACTATGGAAATTATCTATCATTCCATGCAATACCATTGCCATAGCAACCATAATTAAATTATAGTCACCCTTGACGACGCCCAAATTAATTACCTTACTTTGAATCGAAATGGGGGGGCTGTCCTCGTGTACCGGTACACGAGGGAATTCTTATTGTTTTCATAACCATACATGGAGTTATGACGCAGTTCGTTAATGTTTCCTTCTTTTGTGTACCGGTACACGAGGATACAACCGAAATGGGGCAAACCAAATCTTCAAGACTTGAATCAAGTTCACCCAAACCGTATTGAGGAATAGTTAATTCATAAGAGTTAGCCCTGCAAAGGCGTCGGCATCAGCCATATGTCCGTGGATGAATAGGTAAAAGTTAGGAAATCGTCACGGCAGCAGTTTGGAGGGTCTTTACGTTAAATTCTTAATGGTTACGAGCTTTGGGGTCAACATTACAAGGCTAAAACAAGAAGAAGAAATTCAGCAGAACTAACGTATGTTAAAATTTTTCACATTTGAATCGATTTTCCTTCCCCCATGGCGCAAAATAGGTCGTCACTCGACAACGTTCCGATTCGGACGCCATTTTGTATCACGGCCGTTGGGAGACTGAAACAGAAACTTTGAATCCCTCTCCCCTGGGGATGAATTTAATTGTATTTACGCCCTTATTCTGGGGGAAATGGTAAAATGAACTATGGAGTAAAAAGCAGACTTCAAGATGGCGGTCGAAGGAGAGGATTCTTCTTAGACTTTAATTAAGATTAAATCGGGTCGTTTTTAACTTTAGGGTGCCTAACAGCCATTTACAGTGTTCTTCTAGGCTACAAAATGCATTTCAAGGTTGTGTTTTCTTAATATTTCCGTAATTCCTTAATAAAAAAATCGATGAAGAATGGCAATGGTCATAGTCTCCTCTACTAACTATGCAATGGTCCATTCAAACCTTCGTAGACTTTATATTAGTTCATGAATGAATAAAGTGGTCCGCAAACGCGGCTCGTATTACATGTTACATGAGCTCCTTAGTTTTTGGCGCGCAATTTGTCTTAAATTTCGAGCAGTTAGCTAGTTCAAGTAGCAGCGTGGAGAGTTCCAACTTGTGTTTAATTACCAAGGCAACAAAGATGTCTTTAAAGATTGACTGTGCTTGGGCAAGAGTGTTTCTTAGAGAAACTAAAAGTTTAAGCAAAACTGAAAGGATTCCCGGTGAAGGAAATGCAAAGTTTGCTGCTAGATTGCCGCAAGATAGATTTAAAACCTTCGATGAACATTTTCAAGAATTAACCCTGGGCTATACATGAAACGGGAAGACTTCATGCGGCATTACAGAACCATTGATGAAAAATTTTACAACTGGAGAAGCAAAACCGAAAAAGAAGCATACCTAACAGCGTTTTCCTCAAAGAACTGGAATGAGGGCAAAGTAATAAGTAAAGAAGGGAAAAAGATCACTCGTTGACCAGCTGCCAGGCCTGTCTTTTATTCAACTCTCAATTACAATCTACCTTCCCTATAAGTAAGTTTTGTAGAGGGGCTAGGAAAGGACCCCTGACTGAACTTAACACAAATGTCAAGAGACAATGTCAGAGAGAACCTAAGGTCACAAAAAGGAAATTAAAAAGCATTGGGGAAGCAATATATGCCACCTACAATGAAAAATGCCAGGAAAACTTTCAAAAATCACTTAGTGACATTCTAGTACTTGTCCCTGAAGCTGGTCTTTAAAAGAAGCCTTCACCTGCTGAAAAGAAAAAAATGAAGAGAAATGAGCAAAGGCAAACCAAAAAAGAACTAGAGACGAAAATGTCACAAAATGACAGTGCTGTTCACCTTAGCCTTCGTCAGTCTTACAGTTCAAGACAAGTCCAAAGAATGGCCCTGTCCTTTGAAACCTTTGAAGAGGCCAAGGAGAGAGCAAAAACGACCCCACCAAAGGTCAGGGAACAATCCCACACAGCTTCACCTGCTAACATAGAAGGAAAGTTGGACCAGCTACTGGCAGATGTAGAGTCATGGCCTGATGGTCCTCCAAACTGGTCAGAAAAGGCCAGAATGTACAACATCAAAACCAGGGGAAGTGATTTGACACCTGGCAATGGAGGGCAATTAGTCAAAGCCTTTTTACAGTCAAAGAGAGTAGACATTACCCGATTTAAGCTCCCATCAGAAGTGCATCTCAATTCAGAGGATGGCCTTACAGGTAAAAAAAGTGGTAAATTTGTAACTAAGCCAACAGTGGAGTTACATCTCTGCAATATCATTTATAAGCGAAAGAAATTGTGTATTAGGATTGAGCAAAATTTGATTTATTAATTAAAGAACAGTGAGATTTAAGAGTTAAAATTTAGAATTTAGAAGTACCAGCAATATAATACTGCTAATTATCATTTTCATCAGTTTAATTAGACTACAAATTAGAAAAACATTAGAAGAAGTAGGCCTGAAGTAATAAGAATGCATACAACAGTCTAAGTCAAGTTAATGATGAATATGTGACCCTATAATTCTTTCATGGGTATTTATCATTTCTCTAGCCTCATGTAACAAAAGGTTTGATTAATTTTCCAGGATTCAGGGTACGCAGAGCTATGAGGAAGCAAAAGGGGGGAGAAATTTCCGTGCCTGTGATGCAATCAATTAAACAACTCAAGCAAAGCATTCATGAGGGAATAGAGAGTGGCAAATTTAACATAGGAGAGCCAGTGATAGAAAGTGGCTGATAAAAATTCTATATTTTTTTCAGTCATTAGGTTTGACTCATGCTAGCATCAAAAGACTCAACAGAGTTACAAATGACTTTTTCACTCAGGACGTAAAGAAAGCTAGTAACCTTTTTTATTCTGGATAAGTGTTTGTTGTCTTTCACACAAACCTTCATCTAACTGTATTTCTACTTGTAAAATATTCAAACCTCCTCTTTTGAGTAGAACTTTTCTACGCAACAGTATTTGTGAATGAAACTCAGACAGCTTCTTGCCACTATGTTTAATCTTTGACTTGCAAGAGGTCCTTTGTATTTGCAAATAACTTTTAATGCTCTCAATTGAGTGTCGAAAGTAATTGCAGATTACCTTTGTTCTTATGATAAGAGTAGACAATTTTCATTAGCATCTCAACCATCAGGTGCAAAATTAAAACCAATCCAGACTAAGTCACCCATGTTTTCTCATCCGCACCTCAGGCAAATTGTTCATTTTTTACTTAAAATTCTCATTGCCTTCCTATGATATTTTTTCTTGATTACAATTAGCTGTAAGTTGTGACAACTCAATCAACACTCAATCAAAAACTATTTAACCCTTTACACCACAAAATCAGTGTGTATTTTCTCTTTACTTCTCTCTACCCAATTCTTATGAGGTGCTGATAAACAGTTAAGAGCTTGTTTAGTTCAGTGTTCTCCTTTTCAGGCAGTAACCGGTAACATTTACCACCTGTAGTACCTCTTACTACCGTTTAAAATTGCTTGGAATTCTTGAAAATTCAACTTGTAAAAGGATTGCTCTAACAGTTTGAAAATTTAATTTACCTGTCATGCTTAAAAGAAGGGAGAACACTGTAAGTTGGTGATCATTTCCTTAGTTTATTCTTGTGACCTTAATGTTTGATTCAGGGTCAAAGGGTAGAAAAATAAGGGAGAACACTGTAAGTTGGTGATCATTTCCTTAGTTTGTTCTTGTGACCTTAATGTTTGATTCAGGGTCAAAGGGTAGAAGATGCCTAATCTAAAGATTCATGACATGTTCTTTGATTGTATTGACTTTCTCCGTCATCTTTTAAGAAGAGGTACCTGAGTTCTGACTTTTAATCCTAATACATTTCCTAGAAGGCTACCACCTAAACTTTGCATAATTGTTAAACACTGAAAAGAAAACTTGCCAATACACCACATTTAGCCTACAGAAAACAGAGACAAAAATGTTTGGCATGATAAAAGAGGTAAGCATGTGACAAACACAGGGGGCAAATCACCCATGATCATGAGACGAGTAAGAGGAGAGTGCATAACTCACACCTCATGCTTGTCTCAGGCTTACCTCTGCTTTTAGCCTTTAAAAAATAAATATAGAAAAGGAGAAAACGTCAAGAAATAAGAGGCATTCTCCTGATATAAAGAGTAACACTTGGTTAATTATCTGTTTACAGTACTTAAGTCTTCTTCATCCTATATCAATTCATTATCCATTAGTTTTAGCTTTGAAAAAAGATAGCCACATGAACATGCAACTTCACCATTTAATAAGCAGATCCTGCTACAAATCAAGGACATCTCCTCCTCTCCCCCATATTTTCCACAACAAATCATTATATCCAAATGACAGAAGGTGAGGATTATCATCAGTACATTTAAATGTACACACAAAATTATGTGACTTATATAGAGTATATAAAAAAAGTCTCTACATTGGAAGCAATGTATCATCTCTGTCATCATCTGCTAAGGCATCATCCATTGCCTAAGAGAAAAAAAAATTATTACATTCAACAATTATTAAATCAGAATACAAAATCACACACATGAGCCTTAAGGTTATGATCATGTTATGAACTTAATGTCCCATCTAGCTGGAACTTGTGCCACTCTCCCTTAGCAAAAAGTACATTTTAATTAGTGTTGTACAACCAAAACCACAGTAATCAGAATGGCCAATCAGAACAAAGGGAAATATCCCTAAGAGCAAATGAAAACTAGGAAAAAACGAGGAAATGGCCTGAAGTGCAGGAAAATGCTAGCAACCAAGTTGCAATTGGTATTCCATCTCATTGGTTAAGAAGGTAGCAGTAATTTTCTAGACAATTACAGAATTTGAAGAGTAAGTGATTTTCTAGACAATTACAGAATTTGAAGAAAAACCAATGATACTTAATGCCTAGGACAAGCTTATTCCCCTGAAACAGATTGCTGGCCATGCTGGTAAAGCACTGAGAAATAGGCTTACCCCACTCCTGAGCATTAGCCCTTCCTCAGAGCAAATGGGATTGCCATTCACTATAATGAAGGGCTAATGGTTGAAAAATCAGCTTTGTAACTCTTTACAGTGGCCAATTTACGTTATCAACTCAGTTGATAAAACCAAATTACCCTGTTGTACTCTCCCACTGACGCAGCGCCACAGTTTCTTCAGAAACTTACCCCTTTCACCCCACTTCCCCCTTGGGTGGGAAACTTCACTATGGTGGGGTACCTCCTATCTGACTCTCCCTTCCCCCCCCCAACACAGCATTACCACCAGAGGGTTCCATTTCCTCAGCAGATAGAGACACTAAAAAGACTAAACTTCCTAGCCTTTAAGCAGGCCTGGATTACTATTAGCCCTGCAAGACATGCATTTCTCTGGCTTCAGGAATGTTTGAGACAAGTCAGGGAGAGGTTTGCTGAGGGTCTGGCATTATCAGTGCTAGACCCTGCCCACAAGAAGAAATGCTCATCATGCTGAAGGGTTCATAATAAGCACCTGCTTGCAGGTTAAAATTTATTTTCAGGACAGCTCAGAGGTGCATGGCCCAAAATGAATGCAAAAGGCACGTTTACAAAAAGCATGCACATGCATGCACCTTTTCAAAACATGCTTAAAAAAACAGGTGCAAAGGCAGCAGATAAGTATGTACAAGGCAGTAGTCTGTTTTACCCTAGGTTCAACTTTGAATGGTGTTTTAGATTTATAACAAAAGAGGGATTCTGATGTTAGTGAAATTATGTGGTTTGTCCCAAAGTGTTTGCTGTCATGTGATTTTTGAATGGCTTGCCTGCATTATGAAGAAAAAAAGAAAAGTATTTGACCCAATGGGGACCTCTGGCAGTGTGACCTCACTCCGGCTTGTGCAGAGAGATGGTTTGTTACAGAATACTGCTAACCATGCCTTTGTGCCTTGAACCATTTATATAATTGAGACATAGGATTTCACTTTGACAGCCCACCTTGTATCTTGTTGGGCTTGACTCTGAACACCGACACATAAAATTACATCCATCCTGGGAAAAAAAAACAAAATTTAAAGCAGTACCTTGAAGAAGTAGGAAAATTTTCCCAGAGACAAGTAACCACTGAGAAATAAAGTATTTTGCTTTCATAGGATGAGAGCCATTTGAGACATGCTATCTGCTAATTTGGATTGACAGTTTAGTCGTTTTCCCACAGAAAAGAAGCAAACCAAAACAAAAAACAAATTAAAGTAAAAAAAAGAATTTTGATTTTGGGAAAGTTTGGATGCAATTTGTTTCTTTGTGTTCATTGACAAAGAAGTCTTCTGACCTACACAGATCAACAAGAAAACTCTTATTTGACTGATCACTCAACACAAAATCTCTCTCAAATGGCAAGAAAAAAAGATTAAGCCAACTTCCACTGTGCCTCAAAACCATTACGCACTAACACCATTGTAGATAGGGTAATTGAGTGTTATTAACTAAATGGTTTAAACCCACACACAACCCACAATTTCTCCAATCACTCTGATGAAGGGCTAACACTCAAAATGTCAATCTTTCAACTCTTTACAGAGGCCAATTTACATTACCAACTCAGTCAATAACACTAAATTACCCTGTTATACTCTCTCACTGACACAGCACCACAGTTTCTTTAGAAACTTAGCCCCTTTAACCATTGTAGATAGTTTGAAAAAAGAGAAAAACTTACAGCTTGCAGACTTCCGCAGTCTTTCCAAAAGTTGTAGTTAGGTATCTGCTCCATTCCTTTAGCACCAACCATATATCTTTGGTACAAGAAACCAAGAATTAAGTAAATGGAGCCCACAACTATCAATCTGCAATGAAGAATAAGTCATTGTCAACAGGTTATTTGATTGGTTTAATTTCAAAAAAAGTTTGTGAGTAAGTTCTTGATTTTTCCTTAGAGGTTTATTTCTTTAATTTAAATTGTTGAGATTCAAACTCAGATTGGCTTTAATTGGCAAATCAGAGCAAACAAAAGTACTCTGGGGAGGGGACACTCTGACTCCTTTTTTTTTTTTTTTGACATCCACACTACGCGTCACCCCAGAAAAAGTAATTTTTAGCTCCCAAAAAATTCTCCCTTGAAATTGTGCATTTGTGTCAATCTGATTTCTTGATTTTCCCTGATGCACAATACAGTGGAACCCTAAGAATTCTAACCAGTTCCACTCCAACCTGGTTACAGTATAACTCAAACCCTGCTAACTCAGAAAAGATCCAAGTTCACTCAGATGTGTAATTCAGAAAAAAGTAAGCAAGCTTTGTCAAAAAGTGCAATACTTACATTATCAACATAATGGATCCAGCACTCAAGTGCTTTGGCTTCGCTGTGCATGCTGCATCATTATTAAGTTCAAACAGGTAGTAACATTCCAGCGGGTTGTCTGGATCATCTGGGCTACTTTGGTTCCTATATTCTTCAATGACACGCATGGTTCCCTGGAAAAAAAAATTATAAAATCCAATCTTTCCTGGATTCAGAGGCAAACAAAACATAAAGATCTTTTTTCCAAGTTAATACAGCTGCACATGCTATCTATCCACAGAGGAATTTTTTTCCTCATACTGTAGATTAAAGTTCATTTTTTTTAAACTACAGAGCTGATTAAAATGGTCACCAGAAAGAAATCCTTATCTTCTAGAGAGTGCTGTCCAATCATCATCATCATCATCATCAACTTTATTTGCCTTATTTTAACAACACAAAAATTTATTTACAGCGTTAACAGCTAGAAGGCAAGGAGACCCAGGAAGCCACTGGGCTTATGGCCAAGCCCTTACAATCATAAATTAAGTAAGGAAAAAGTGTTGCAAATGTGCAACTTTATTTAAGTTAAAACTCTTGCACTTTTGTCTTAAAGCTAGCAAGGTTTGACGAACAAGTAACTGTTCCAAATTTTAGGACCTTGGTAGAATATTATATTGCTGGAGATTTGTATGGCACAAGTGTGTTCAATAATTACAGGCTCTTCTGGTACCATAATTGTGAATTTGGCTATTTGTTACAAAAAGATTGAGAAGCAACAGGGGCAATAAGTTGTTTTCACAATAAAACATAAATTTGGCGATTTCAAAAGTATTGACCAAGAAAATAAGTAAGATTCCTACTTTGGAGAATAATTCAATTATTTAACAATTTTGTCACATATATGATCAAAGCAGGCAATCATCTTGTCCACCCATTTGCTAATCAGAACACAAGATTCACTTCATCTTGCCTACGGGTGCTGTCAGCCATCTGATAAGTATTCGTTATCAACCAAGCCCTATCGGCCACAATAAGTAATAATTCACTCACCCTCTCAACCCCTGGGTCACATGTCATTAACACAATACTAATTCTTTCTAAGCTTTTGCAGTGGTGTTTATACGGCTCTCCATGGAAGTATTTTATCATCAGCCAGTCCGCTGAGAAAATGAAATTTTACATTTATTGTTAAAGTTCAAATTATGATAAAAATCCTCTAATAGATATTTTCTTTATTCTCATCACTTATCTGCTTGATTTTGTAATGTTATGACAATGAAAAACTTTGTCTTGGTCACAAAGTGAGGAAAAGGGTTAAAATCTGTGTACTTTATCTGTGCTCTGATGTTTATACACAATTATGCATGTATTAAGTTTTGATCACATGACTTACTTCCTCCAGTAACATGGGCACCACGGAAGGTTCCTATTACCTTCCAATCTGATTCTTTCCACTTCACGCCATGTTGCTGAACTGCAGCGGTGTCTGAAGCACCTTGCTTACAGATTGATATTTTATATGAATAGTCATCATCGTCTGCAAAGTAAATCCTAAAAAACAAAAACTCACTTGTTAACCATTAAGCATAAAACAGTAAAAACAATTTGAGATCTGATATAAATGTGACAAACACTTGTGCAAGCTCAGTTTTTTGGAAAAATACAAAAAGTGTATGTTGGAATATTTGAAGGTAATATACTGTATACATATAATGCTGAGTTTGTGTCAGGCGAACTAAGTTACAGTCTGTAATGGGGTTAAGTAAGTTTAAAAAGGATCATTATTGTTATTAAATCTATGGCAGCTGCTTCTTCATAACAATTACTTGTAACTTTAGACATGTTTTTTTTATAGAAAAGTTGGGTTAATAGGGATTTTGTATTCTTTCTGCTGGCAATATCATACCATAACAATTTATTCACTGGGTTCTACTCTTTATTGTACAGAATATCTCACTTATTGCAACTGGAGTGAAATTTCTATGATCTACAGGAATGAAGCTTCCCACAGTGAATGCATTTTATTCTTATAAACATTTGGCATAATATGATGTTGTTAAAATGTAAAAACATCAACACTTCCGAAGGGGACAGATTCATATCAATCTGTATCCAATCAGATACTAAATCTCTTAACTTGTAGTTAAAATTCTGACTGATCAAAAAACATTTTGCCGAGTTTTATTCACAGTTAATTAAAATTTTATTACAGTAATGAAATTTTAACTACAGCAATTATATAATTAAATGGTAATATTGTCGCGCAAGAAACTCAGTGGAGTTAAGGTGTTAAATCAGATTTAGTCTATGGGTGTTTGAGTCATCAAAATAGTTTCAGTTGTTCATATTCTTGAGGAAGGGAATGAAAAGTAACATGTTTCTAATAAATTGCGTGACAAATTGCAAGGCAAGCAACATTGAAATGGCTTCCAATTTCGGTTTCATAGTTGCCTACAATATGTTTAGTGTCGTATACGAATTTCCTACCAATTATTGAGCAAATTTATCGAAAATGTTCGCAATTTTGCTGTACACTTGACTGTAACATAATACTAAATTCCTCCTTAGCTTAGATGACTTTTAAACAGAAATTACAAAACTTGTAATTTTAAGTTAAATATTATTAAACTAGACGTCATTTCAACACGTGCCAACTCCTCCTTTTGCCCGAATATAATGACTTAAATATAAATCTAACTTCCTTCAAGGCACAACTCCCAGTTTGCATAGTTTCTTTCGAAGGATACTTATAAAATCGAGAAAGAAAGCGAAGTAAAAGTGATAACGTGTTCACAACTCACTTTTGCCCCGATAACTTTTTAATTCTCTCGTTCACATCGTTTGGGTCAGTCTTTTGATGTTGAGGACACATTTGTTCTTTGGGAGCTGGCGTCGTCGTCCTCACAGACACAAAACGAGTGCACAGACCCAACCACAACAAGACCGCCTTCATAAAGGGCGACAAGGTCTCCATTGCTCTAAAATGCTGCTATTTCAAGGCCGCTTCCTCACCAACTTCGATTCCACGTGCCAGGTTACTAAGCGATGACAATATTTGACTCGAGTGGTTATGGGTAAGTCATGTGTTTGTCACAAGACATCAAGACATTACACGTCAGCGATAATAAAACGCTCGTGTAGGAACAAGAATGATATATTTCTTAGGTATGCCTGGACTGAGTGTGATAAGGAATGATATTTTTTATAGGGTTCTTCAACCCTTAATCGCTAATTATATACTAAATCCATTCCTACGTTAAAATCCAAAGTATTTAGAGAACTCAACGACGCAATTTGAGCCGACAACGCTCAGTGGATCGACTGGCTCCCGGAAGTCTAAACTACCACAGTAGACCGCTACTGGTGCTGATGGAGGCCTAAAAATCCGTGACAATCAATATTCTCGGTCAAATGGTGATCAGCTGATTTGGATTATTTTTCTTTTTCTCAGAGTGTTGTTTGAAGTGATGGTTTAAGGAAGTTGTTGGCTTGAAAATCTCTCCTCTCCGACTTCACTTCACGCTTCTTTGAATTTTCATCTCCTGCCATTTATTACTTCAGATTTGTGATTACGGAACATTACCATTTTTGTGTTTTTTACCTGCTACCCTCTCTTTCCTCAACCATCTCCCGTGCCTCTACTAGGCTCCTCTTCACCCCCCCCCCCCCCAACCCATGACGGGTTAAACTCCAGATTTGTGATTAAGGAACGTTACCATTTTTGTGTTTTTTACCTGCTACCCTCTCTTTCCTAAACCACCTCTCGTGACTCTCCTAACTCGCCTCCATCCCCCACCCCACGGACAGGTTAGCTGTAGTCTCCCCACCTTGTCTCAACCCTCTCTTGATGAACTGTTTGATTACGTTTTATTTTATTTTATGGAAAAATAATACCACGCTAACCATTTTCACAGAGTTGTCCGAGAAGGAAGATTTTCACAAGTTCGTCCCCATGCCACTCGAATCACATTACTTTTGCCTGAGAGTTGGAAACTGAAGACTGAAAGAACCTGGGGAAGAGTTTTATCAAGGTAGTTTCTGTATCTAAGAGACAGATAATTGTGCGAGGTATGAGGATAGGGAGGTAAATGGAACTAGTCTCTTCACGAAGTTAATTTTCCGCGAAGAATCTTGTCTTTCGATTGAAGAAATCATTATGAACTGAACATATTTTATGTGCAGCTCAGCACGAACGCGCAAGCGCACACCATACCTATCCAAGACGATCCAAGACAGGTGATGTTTTGTAATTAAATCGAAAAGGTGACGATACTTCAGTTCGATATTGATTTCAATTTTTCGCCTGTCATGTCCTAATTAAACAAAACCTGATGATGTCGAATGACACTTCCTATGATCGCTCGATAAAATGTCAATTCCTTGAAACAACAAATTCATGCTATTAAACAGGAAGACCTCCCTCAGGTCGCGTGTGCGCGTGAAAGACAAAAATCGAGATGAACGGTCTTTGAGACCGAGACGGGGCTAGCTAGCGCTGCGCACATGAAGCAAGTGGAACAGTTCCTCCGCCTTTAGCCACAGTGATGAGGGTACATCTCCAAATATGCCAACTTCTGATCTCTGCTCAAGTCTTGACGGTTTTCTCGTTCTCTACATTCGCGCGCTCTGAACAACGTTCAAAAACGGGAATTATCACCGCGGGTGACATCATAATTGGCGGCTTAATACCCGTTCACTTCTCGCCCAACTTTTCGCCGCATCCTGGAAATTCGTCATGCCAGGGTTCCTTCCATTTGCGCGGGTTCAAAGGAGTAGAAGCTATGCTATACGCGATAGACCTCATAAACAAAAACCTTACGTTGCTGCCAAATGTAACTCTGGGAGTTGATGTAAAAGATACATGTGGAAGTGTGGATTATGCAATTATGGAAAGCTTGAGTTTCGACTTTATCAGAAGCGCTTATGTTGCTTCAGAGCTTCTTGATTGCGCAGAGGATTCATCCAGCGAAAAGCACTCGGTACTCAAACCTAAAGCCAGTGATAGACCTATGTCAGGAAAGAAAGATTCGAAGAGACACGATGGTGATATGTCAGGTTTGTTTTATTGATGTTGGCTGAAAGTCGCTTGAGTTCAATTTTATTTCTTAAGTTTTGTCATCCATATTACATTTTCTGATAAATATCGAGCGCGATTCCGTTATTCAACGCAATTTATTCAATTTCATACGCACGTAAACAAAATAACCCGCTACCGCGCCAGATAATTTTTTAAACCGTGGCTTCTTGTTTTCTGTATTGTGGCGAATTGACCCACTGAGTCAAACAGCTCGTTTATTTGCTCTATATTCACGTTAATGACAGTCTCTATCGCGTCCAGTGTTTTTAGACGCCATCTAATTTACAAATGTGTTTTAACTACAACGACGACGTGAAAAGTCATAAGAAAACATCTGACTTCCAGTCTCTGCCTTCCATTTGAATCATTTCATGTGTTTCGCACAGACGACCAACTTTAAAAGTTGTGTACACAAACACTATATCCAGTGTTTCTACTTTGTTTAACTCACGATCTAGAACTGACAGTTCAGTTTCGATATGCATGTGCATGAAGTTCAGTCTCTCGAAATCAAGTTCAAACTTCATACAGGGAGGGTGGATTGCAGCCGGTTCTTAAACGAAACAAAATTTTTTTTGCATTTGTTAGCTAAAAAAATTAGGTAGTTTTCCATTAGTGTAATTAGTTCTGAAAAAAATTTATTATGAAGCCTGTTGGGATTGAAACATCTATCTTCATTTTCAGTCAATCGACTTTAAAATGGATAATAATAAAATATTGCATCCAATCGAAAACCAAGATATCTGGCAAGTTTTAGCTAGGTTTACGCAATTTGAATGGCCATAACACTGAGTACAAATCACAAAGCAGATCTCATAGAAATTTAGGCCAAACAGGCTTCTTTTTCTTAAAATTTGACTTTTTAATTAAGAAATACGCCGGATTAAAACCCTTTTAAAAATTTTTTAAAGTTACGCCCACGACAAGACAGCATGCAGTAGCTGTCACAACTATATTTCGCAAACTGACAGAGCTTTCAATCTGTCCAAAGTTCTCCGTTCGTGGAGAAGTCTGTATTGAATGAAATCTTATTTTTTTTTCCGACAGCAGATTGTGGCTTCCGTTCTCAAAAAACAGGAAGAAAAAATGTTGAAATATGACCATAACCGTGCCTGTCAACCACTCTCGAAACTGTCAATGCGAAACCGCAAAGTATACCTCTCAGAATTTGAAGAACCTTTGGTGACATGCATTAAAAATTATGAATTTTTGCCAATGATTTGCCCTCCAATAAGTGAGATATATCTATAAAGCAAATTAGATTAGATGTTTTTCAGGTACTTTCAAAATTAACATGATTTTTAATATTTTCGACTTAAGTCACAGTTTAAGTATTGCTGAATATTTTCAAGATTAACTTTCTGTAATATTTTTCGATCTGCCTTACAGTTTCCAAGTCAGTGCTCAATAACCACGCTTGAGATAAATTTGTGTTGTGGTAAATGTCGTTAAACTTGTTTATGGCAAGCTGAATAAATACGACGAATGCAAAGTGTCTTGAAAGCACTTCACAGATCACATACGCAATAGAAATATCACGTCTTTTCCTTCATTCCAGATGAGTAAAACCTTAATTGCAAAATTAACTGGATCAATTTTGTAGAGTGGAAACAAGGCGCGTTTACTGAAGAATATTTTGACTAAAAGCCGTGCAAAAATTTGGTTCATTAGTAATGCAAACTCCTCGATAATTTGTATGCTTTTGTTGAACAAAACCGGGATAAACTCTAACTAGTTGAAATTAAAACAATCCTAAATTCAAAGTCTATTCTTTACCCTATTTAAAATTAATTATAAAATTCTGTGTAGAGGGAAGTATTTGAAACGAAGTTACTTTGGCCTAGATAAAGAAAAAATATTTCAACTAATAAAATAACTAATGGCCTTGTGGCCTTACTTTGCTAGACCAACCACTTGCATGAAAAATTAATTTTGTTTTTGCGCATTAGTGTCTGCTGTGGAATAAGAAAATACAAGTGAATCCGTATTTAATTAAAGATTTAACTCTGAAAATCTAAATATATTCGCTGCGGCTTCATAAACTTCCGTGAAATGCGTAAGCTTATTTGTCTCTAGTTAAAACTTAGAAACAATAAACATTTTTTGGCGAATAATACATCGAGGGGTCCATACATAATTGCAATGTTTTAAGCTTTCATATTTCGCCATGGTTATCCATTATCATGTTCCTGTGACATCTTTACCCTCTTTTAGTACTTACACAACATTAGACACAACATTAATTTTTTTGCGTATGCGTAAAACATAGACACTTTTAACAGAAAACCTTCGTTTTGTCTTAGCGTTTCTGTAATAACTGTAAAACTATTTCTAGGGGTTCAGGTTAGTGCTCACGGACTAAGAGGCTTTTGAATCGCAATGAGGGGTTTCGTTAATTGTGAAATTTCTTATATATAACTGTAACCGCAAAGGACTACGAATTTACCTTTTTGACCTGATACAAGGTGCTGATTTAATCCGAATATGAAAATCAAGGTTGTTTTCCCACGCAGCCTTGTAAGTACTTCTATTTGAGAAAATTTGAGAAAGAAAATTAACCAAACGTAAAGTCGAATGGAAATCAAGAGAATATCAATCTTTCGCCCGAATTTACCCTCAATAATTACCCTAGTATTATAAGCGGCCGTGATCGATTCTTTGAGAAACCCCAGCCTTTTCTATGTTTCTGTTTCGGATTTGATTGATTCTCGAACATTACTGTGATAAATACAAAGTTATTATTCGTTCTGACTCGCTTTTGCTGCGAGAATAGCTCGTCTTGTATACAAGTTTCTATGGTGTTGTTCTTAATAAAAAAACACATTACTTTATTTAGGTTGCTGTTCAAGTAAGTCTCGCACAGCAGCTATCGTTGGAGCAGCTTTTAGTGGCGTAACCATGGCAACAGCAAGCCTTACAGGCCTTTTCCACGTGCCTGTAATTAGTTATGCTTCAACGAGTCGTCTTCTCAGTGACAGGTCTCGGTTCCAGTACTTCTACCGAACGGTTCCGTCAGACAACCTCCAGGCTCAAGCAATTACTTCCCTTCTTCATGAATTTAGCTGGCATTTTGTCATCGTTCTCGCGTCCGATAACGAATACGGGCGATCAGGTGTCACAGCCTTGAAGCAGACGATACAAAATTACACGACTCGAGTTCAGATCTGCGTAGTAGTCGATGAACTTTTTTCAAGGAAAGGGAGTCAATATGAAATGACTCGTATCTTTAGAAAGATCCAACAATTTCCACGAGCAAAAGTTATAATTCTCTATGCTGAATTTCCAGATGCAGTGTACTTTTTCAAAGAGGCAAAAATGGCATCGTTAAGGAACTATGTGTTTATTGCGACTGACAGCTGGGTTGGGTCTACAGAAGTGGTTCAAGGCTCCAGTGATGTTTTCCAAGCGATCATCGGTTTGAGGCCTCCGATCGTTTCCATGCCAACATTTGACGCCTACTTCTTGGAAACTCTCAAGGAAAACAACAGTAGAAATCCATGGGCTTCCGAATGCAATAAAAGTTTAATTTGCAGTGATAAAAGCGTTGAAAGGTGTCAGTCAGAAGTTCACCACGATGGGTATGTCGCTTACATATTGGACGCGGTATTTTCAGTGGCGCATGCGCTACACGCAATGCTCAGCTGTGACAAAAAAGTGTGCGCTAAGAAATGGAGGGATGTGGACATCCGGGATCTTTCACAGTTCATTCAAAATGTATCGTTTGTAGGATATTCTCAAGAAAATATCTTCTTTAACGAAGAGGGCACTACAAAGGGAAGATACGATGTTTATTATCTGGACAAAGAAAGCAGCAAGTACATCAAAGTGGGTTCGTGGAGTCAGACTGCACTAAGCCTTAATTTATCGAGAATTTCACAACATGGACCTGATTTTCCATTTCCGGCTTCAATCTGCAGTAACTATTGCAGGAAAGGTACGAGTGTGCTGTTCGTCTTTACAGTTTTAAGGCTTTCGCTATTAAGTGGCCAAGTAAAGGCTTACTCAAGACGTGCACTTCGTGCAATTTGAAACTAACTATTGGAAAGTCTTCCTCATGAGGCAATTTCGGTGAGGCAAAGAAATGAAGGGTATCGGATCGTCTCCCACTTAGTTGGTTCGTGCCCAGTTTGAGTCGGTTCGTACCCACTAAACAAGTTACATTCAATAGTCGTGTATTAAAAATAAACACCAAAGAAACAAAACTTCAGTTGAGCCGGCAGATAAGAAACTGACCTTTAAAGTACTTAACATGGAAAACAATCATTATTAGTTTAGGTAAAAACTGACTGATCAGACTGCAAGCTGGTTAATAACTGACTGAGTACGAAACGTGCGTGGGTACGAAACGACCACATGCAAAGAAAGAAAGCGTCACAAAGGGTGGTACCGGAAATAAATAAATTCAAAATTAAGAAAGACTCAAGACTCAAAATTCTTTGCCCAAAGTTTAATTTACGCGAGGTTTCACCAATAACTACAACATCGTCAAGATCAACATCTAGAATTGATTTCTTCTTCAGAAAGTAGTTTGGTTCTTATAAATTTTTTTCAATATCTTTACGTTATCCACTCTCTTCTTTTTGGACCAACAAAAAGATTTCACAATTGGTGTCTTTATCGCTAAATAAAGGTCCATTCCCCAGCCGTGAAAACCTCTCCTTTCACGTTTCTTCTCCTTTCGCCCCGTAATTGTTGCTTTATTTCCTCTTTCACGCCAGGCGAATACAAGATTCCAAAATCCCAGTTCCCGGAATGCTGCTGGGATTGTGCAAGGTGCGACGGGAAATCATTTACCAATACGTCACACATGACCAAATGTTCCTATTGCCCAGAAGGAACTTGGCCCACCGCTGACCACTCGGCGTGTCGTCTCATCGAAGCGACCTACCTCCACTGGGGTGAGAGTTGGGCAGTTGTGATCGTCTTCTTTTCATCATTTGGTTTGATCATTGTGATACTGACTGGCGTTGTATTCATAAAATTTCGCGCAACACCGGTGGTGCTAGCTGCTAGCAGACAACTATGCTACTTCCTTCTATTGGGAATTGCAATGTTCTACGTGACACCTCTTCTATACATCGCCAAGCCTTCAGCGGTCACCTGTAGAATTCTTCCAGTTATGTTTGGGCTCTGCTTTGTACTGGTGGTTGGTAAGTACGGTTGCTGTTGCGGCATCAGCCTCTAACCAGGCCTTTATTATCAGCGCTTCGGTAAGTTCGTTTCTGCGCCTGCGTAAAAATTATGAAGCTTGAATAACACGAGCCGGTGAGTGGTCTGTAGTAGAGCCAGACTCCCGGCAAACCTCTTCCCGACTCGTCTTAACCCTCCCCCCCCCCCCATGCCACCCTGCGGAGGAAAACGCGCGTCCTACAGTGCTCGTAATGAATGACCTGCTCTGAGGCTGTTACGGCATGTAACTTTTCCGTTGATTTAACTTTAGCATTACGCTTAAAAAATCACTGGTCTCCTTGTCTTTGAAAGTTAGTGTGGACATTCGTGTTCAAAACTAAAATGATTTCTTTTCTTCCTCTGCATTTTCATCTTTCCCAGGCACAATTCTCATCAGAACAAATCGAGTGTCCAGGATTTTTAATGAGAAGCTTCTTCGGACAGGGAAAATCAGTTGCCTTGGCAACCACTGGCAGATGTTTATATTAGGATGTTTGTTGATCACCGAGATCGTACTCACCGTTGCTTGGGTATTCGGTTCCTCGTCTCAAGTGTTCCCGCAAGTAATCTATTCCAAGGCTTCTAAAGATGCCTCTCTTATCTGCAGCTTGAGCGGAAGTCACATTGGATTTTCTTTGTGGCTTATCTACAACGCAGGCTTGGTCGTCGTGTGCACATATCAAGCTTTTCTTGTAAGGAAAGTGCCACATAATTATAACGAGTCTAGATTAATTGCGTTTAACATGACCACACTATGTATTACTGTCCTTGTCTATATTCCGTCGTACATGGGTACCTCAGGCTGGTATCGGACAATTATCTCGTGTTTCATGCTTATGTTTCTTGGAACTCTCACGTGGGCGAGTATATTTGCACCGAAGATTTATATAATTCTGTTCCGACCGCACAAAAACATTCCCATGAGACCTTCCGTGAGCTCCATCACGCTGGGAGTGATCTCACCCTCGCCTACTGGGGTCAGCAGTATTAGTGAACAGTACATGTGCAGTAGGAAAAATTCTCTGAATCCCAACGAAGATGGAACGTGGGGAGGCTCGTGGGCCAAGACTGATTCGGCTCGTGAACTGAACGAAAATGTAGCAATCACTGAGGAAGATGATTCGCCGTGTGAACAATTTGATGATTTTTCCGAGAAAGAGCTGAAAGAAAACCAGGAAACTGATACCAGTATAGCTGATAAGTCACAACCACAACAAGAAAACTGTAAAATGACACCCCAAAAGAATACTTCGATGGTGCATTTCGAAGACGAAATGCTAAATGAATGCGATGAAGGCAGAGACACACAAGTGTTCCCTGAAAAAAAAACCAGTGGTAGCCAAGGAGGTATCTTAAGAAGAACTTATAACTCAGAGATTCACGAAAATTCCATTAATGGGATCGTTCCAAGGAAGAAAAAAACATCACTAGTTCGTTTTCAGGACGAAGTGTTAAGTTGTGATATTAATAATTTAACAGACTACCATAGGATTGCGCTTCCCGCCAAAGGAGAAGAACCCATTCAAATACCGAAAGGAAACCTTGATGCGGAGACCAATAACAAAGGAGAAGTGTATTGTTCATGTGCTTCAACTTCAGATGAAAAAACAGAAACCAACCGTGTCACAGAAAAAGAGAGAAAGCGGAAAATATCTGTCTTCTCGTTCCAGTGACAAGAAAAAAATATCCGATAAATCTAACTCTTGACTATAAATATATTTAGGTCATTAAAGTTGGTTGTCGTATTTTTGCCTGGCGCACCTGACTCAAAAACAATTGCGCTAAAAATTAGAAGCATGATGTAATTTAATTGCGATGCATTTTCTCTATCTGGGCAGTCTCCGGGTTGAGTTCTCGTATGAGAGCAATGAGCTTCGCAACTAATGAAAATTGTGCGTAAGTCCCATGCCAGGTCGAGCAAAAAGGATGCCCTTTTCACGCGGTCCTCCTATTCTCGCCGTAATTTAAAGGAGGAAAAACTCTTCAACTGTACAGCGTTAAGACAAAACATTTCTCATCGCCTTCTTAGAACTCGGTCAAATTTCTCCAACATATCTCCATAAAATGTCCAACAACTTGTTTGTAATATTAGTTTCAAACAAAAAAACTGGTCACATCTGAGACAATTTTATCCCAGTTACTTTTCAGTTGTCCTTCTGGTGTACCTTCTCCTCGAAAAACTGGTATCACACCTTGCAAAGCTCTCGTTTTCTTAATGTTCGCAAATGATTTGAAATAAAATTAAACCCATTTTGTATGGACTTTTCGAAGTTGAATAAAACCAAGAGAGTATAATTGATATTCTCTTTATAAAACTTAGTATCATTGTCCTACCATGTTCAAATTTATGAACCTAACGCTACGACCTGTTACGAATTATGTTTAAAATGTGAACGTATAAAGATATCGTTTTCTCACAGTAAGTTTTCGCTGGCTGTGTTCATCATGTGTATGTTGGAAGAATAGGTCTAGTTCACGACATCAGTGAAGCAGACAAAGTCGTCCCCAGGTTTTCGCTCTCTCTTTTATGTCCAAAACCTCGAAGGAAGGACTTAATTATCTTCTGCCTTATTGGATATTGCCTGCATTGACTCCGATAATAAAACGTTTCTAAATATACAATTGTTGCGATAAAGATTATGGCAGCTACTTCACAATAGTTTTTTTTGTTTTCCGGGGCGATTGAAAATTTTCGATCATTGAAAGCAACCTAAAAATAATAGCTCAACGGGGAAAAGAAACAGAATTGTTCGAGAATGGAATTACCCCAAAGGGAACACGATGAAAAACACTGCAAAACTAAAAGTATAATTGGACATCAGTTATTAGAGCCCTCGACGGAGAAATCGCATAGTAATTCTCAAAACAATAACTATTTCCTAGCTATTTACCTTAAACATGGATACATATTTAGCAAAACACGCTTAACATGGATTCTGACGAACAATTGGCTTTGGGCTTCTGATTATCATTTGTCAAGGCTGGAACAGCTGGAGAGGAGGCGTCACGAAAACCCATATGGGATGAGCTAACCATGTGACAGACTATCCCGCTCGTCAAACAACCATTACACATGCGTAGTTCTCCAAAACATTGCAAAACGACCTAACGGCTGAGATCATTGGCCGTTGAATAACACATTTCAAATTTGACAAAAGCATATGGTTCGAAAGGAGCTCCCATAAAATTGTTGCGATTGTCAGGGTATAAAAAGGCAGCGAAAAGCGCAGTATTTTCATACTTACAGGGCACTGGAGCTACTGTGATCAAGAAGGCAGTGCTCCCAGGTTTCGGCCTTCACTGCACTCTTCTCGGAGGCTGAATCCTGCGTGTTCCCCACTCTTAGGGTGCACGGTGTGCAATTTTTGTTAGTTGGGCTGACCTGCGTACGCGCTCGTTGGCCCTCCATTTCAAAAGAAGGATTTACCGTGACTCACCAGGCTCAATATTCAATTAAATGCGCCTCGCTCCTTTAAGACCTCAACAAACTTAGTTATCTCTCTGATAAATGCGTTATCCAACAGCAGATAATAACGCGAGATATTGGATTGCATATGTAACGGAGAATGATGCCCACAAAAGGCCTAACAGAGAGACCCAAAACTAAGATGACTTATGGAAACTGGATTTCCCCAAACTTGAAGTCTTTGAAACAAAATGATCCTCACTTGATGGTAATCTTCAGTTTTGTAATATACTACAAATATACATCATGATTTCGAATATTTTACTCGATTTCTTTTATTCTTTTGATGAAATTTATAGAGCGATAAGTCCATGGGAATTGACACAATATTTTGGTGTATTTACTCATCAACTAGCTGAATTCATCTGTCGTACGTTGAAAAAAAAATTTTCATTCAATGTAGTTAATTCTACAGGGTCGTTAGTCAACTTTGTATAATAAGGCTTATTCCAGCGGCAAAATTAAGATCCTTCCAATTTTTCTACAACATGCTTTGAGCCAGAAGTTGTTATTGTGGCGCACACATAATTAAACATTAATAAATATTTATATGCAAACACTAAACAGGGAACCCTTTCGCGATGGCTTCTCAATCACACAAAATGTATGTAGAAAGGATAAAACAACATTCTAGCTTTTAAAGATAAGTGCAATGATTTCTCTTCATGCCTCATATATTTTTGGTTAGATTTCTGATCATGATCTATAAATTGCTTACAGGAATTTAAGACGCTCCCGAAGTTGTTCCTCATCACCTGCTGTCGGCAAACAGCGAAATTTATGGCGCCAAACATCAATATCATTATCTCTCTTAATTTGAGTCGTTTTAATGGAAAACTCAAACAAATTTAAGCCATATCAAAATAAGAAATTTCCTGTGGGCTGCGTTTCACCTAAACGGAAAAGTTTATTATGAGTTTACTAACTAACAACAATAACTGTTTGATCTCTGAAGAGGAAAGGTGTTTTTATCTGGGCTGATCGGTTTTCTTTTGTTTCAACTCAGCGTTTGTTTAACGATTTACTGTTTCTGGAATAATAATAATAATCGAAATAGACAGACTATAAGCAGACTTTGTTTGTGTCTTTGAACAGGCTAACGATAAACTCTGAACTGCATCTGCAATGACTCAGCTATGAACTCAGTCGGTATACACCAAAAAGAGGATTAAAATTTCTAGATCTCCAAAACAAATTGTGTGAAGCTTTTTGCTAAAGAAAGAAACATCTTTAGGTGGTTTTTGTAGCACAAATACTCTCAGGTTTGATAAATAATCGAAATAAAGTTTCGTCTTACAGGTAAATTTTATCTTACAGATAAGTTTTGTCTTACAGATATATATATCAAACGATGTACGTCAAATCGGTTCTACAATGGTGTGATCAATTTTTGTCATAAAGATAACATAGTTTTTCCTTCCGCTTCCTTCCTCTGCTTTCGTGTAAATAAAGGAAGCCTTGGTCAAACTCAGTCGAATTTTATTGACAGAATTTCAACAGACCAATCAAACAGCCTTTCTTATGCTGCTGCTAGCCCTTATTTGGTGGTCCTTTTAACCAGTCGGAACAGAGTTTCTAGTCTCATTCAACTTGCAGAAAACACAAATATTTATTCATGCTCTCCAAAATATTCCCAAAACCAAGAGAGAGAAAGTTAGTCAATGTAATGTTTTTAAAAAAAATTAGAATTTTAGCATATTTTCTTAGTTTGAATTTCAATTTAAAATCCGCAGGCAAAAAGTCCTAAAAATAAAATTATATAAAGAGACAAAGCGGTATGGTGTTGTCTCCGGAAATAAATATGCACATTGAAATTAGAATTTGTTTTATTCTTTGGTTCAAGAACAGCAAACTGTCGCTTGAAATTTTACACCAGTGTCTACTTCAAAGGAACACCTTTAAAGTAGACACGAGTTTGCGTTCCTAGAAACTTAAACTTTCGGTTGGAATATAATACAATGTTTGTGTTCAATATTCTAAGAGTTAGCTATGTTTGAATTTTCATCATAGCGGAAAATTTTCTGACAAATTGCATATTGCGCCAATTTCATCTACGTAATTAGTGGTTCTATGGGTAAATAGAACTACTAATAAGGTAAATGGGGAATTAGAGATACGACTTGAGACAAATTTTGGTCCTTTGTGAGCCTAATAGGACTAAACTATAAAATTGCAGCTGTACAAAAGCTACGAAATGAAGAAGAAAAGCCTAGACTCAAATTACCAAAAGAGCTAAATTTATCCATTGATGAATGAAACTCTAGCATGTAAGCATAAATTAACACAACAGGTGTAGTTATTTGTCAAACTTTCCAATTTAATTGCTAAAATGTATTGCTTAAAAACACGAACGGCCCAGATTCTCTTCTTCGAAGGGATGACGAACCCAAAAAATTTCTATTTTTACACCGATTTTATAACTTGATACACGTTGGGCTCATGCCCATGTACATGGAAGAGGAATCTAAAAATTAATGTTAATTTTCGGAACTCACATTGCATTCAAGTTATTAAAAATTAAAGTAGCGACCATTTTGAATATTGATATGAATTTCTTTCTGTTCGAAGACGTTCTTGTTTTAAAGTCTCACCCGAAAAATTGAGTTGAATACTAATTATAAATAAAAGTTATTCTTATTTTAGTTCGAAGTATATACTTCCCCGAAAAGTCAAAAGAATGTTCAGAGAATGACGGAAAATTTTAATGTCGTACGTTCTTTCGGGCTTGTAAGTAGCGGTCAATGTGCGAGATTATGTAAGTTAGCTCAAAATTCGTCAAAACTTTATGTTAAGGAAATCAACCAAGGAAAATTACCAATTCAAGGGTAAACGAGTAAAAATTTTTGAAACGGTGGAGCGTTTTATCTACGTGCAGAGATCTATGGTTAAGTGAAATTACAAGATTGACGTTAGATATTATCCGTATTTTTTGTCGTTTCCTTTTTGATATTAAAGAGTTAAATTTAGAGATATTAGTCGTATCCGAGACCCTACAATAAAATATTTTAGCTTACAGGTGAATAAGTGTGTGTATCTCATTCGCGAAGCCAGTTATCGACGAGAGGAAAAATGTAAACTATCATGTCCTTGGACTGGGTGTTATCTGCAAGTTGCGTTGTTCTAACAATTTTTTTCTAGTTTCCTTGTTGCCATGGGTGACGCTAACGAGGTTTCGATTGGCCAGAAAGTTGTAACAACCTGCTGTTACTATAGCAACTGGAAAACAATTAACTATATTTTATTTCTGTTACACAAACTTAGTTTAACCGCTGACTTTGTTTTAGCACATTGCTATTTTTTTCAGGCATCATCAGTTACGTTATCCCGTGAGTTCCTCGTTAAGCTTTTAACTCCTAAGATCTGATTGTTAATTCTCCCCTCTCGCTCTCAAACATTTTCTTGTTAATCAGTTACGAGAATTTTGTCTTAGATCAAGATACCTGATAAGTTTGAGTATACTCATTACCGTTTGCTGAATAATGTATGAATATTGTGTGGAGAAGTTATAAGTAATCACTTCTGGGGTTGAAGAATTAATATACTTGAAGGGCTAACGCTACTAGACATATAATCCTAACGCAAATCGCAAACTTAAAACCGTAGTTACCTTTAGACGGATTACGATGGAATCCATTACTTCCCTACCAACTGATCCATCCATATGTAAGCGACACCTGTTCAGATCTTTGGCACAGTGGTGTCACCTATACAAATACATTTCTAAAAGAACCCTTCCAAAAAACTAGAAAAA